TCCTTCCCACTAAGTTTGATTTCTCCTGTCTCCTAATTTTCACAGGACTATTCCTTAATATCTCTATTTGTTACATACCTGTTTGTATACTGTCTAGTTCCGTCAACTAAATTACATGCATATCCCTCTGTCACATTGCCCCTATACCTTGTGTGTTCTAGTCATTCATTAAATGTAATGTTGAAGTAAATTGAGTAGTAACTAAATAGTAAATGATATGTTTAGGAAAATTAACTCTGAATGATGTGCTCTCTGAAGATAAAGTTAATGCTGCCTTCACCTTTTTATTCCCAGATTTCAGCACAATTTCTGGTAAATAGTAGGTGCTCAATGAATGCTTGTTATATTAATTGGGAAAGAGAATTGGAAAGGTAAACTGGGAGTTAGAAGAAGTGAGTTTGCGCGAGTTTCCATTCCAAGCTCTCTGGAAAAATTTCTTCTCAGATGGCACAGACCTTAGCCAGATTCTTCAGAAGAGTGTTAGTTTTCACAGGTGTTGACAAATAGCTCTGAGACAAATTTTGAGTTATAGGTAAAGGACATCCAGTCTCTAGAACTGTGAGGAATACATTTCTGGTTTATGCTACCCCGTCTAAGGTATTTTGTTCTGATAGTCCTAGCAAACAAATACAATATCCTTCCCGACATTGCAACTTTCTCCTGTCCTTCTAAGGGCTTTGTCTTCTTATCCATAGTTCATTTATATCTCATTCTGGGCAGGAGTAGTAGGAGGGAACCTGTTCCCCAGGTTCACATATGCTCAGGCACTTCTGCTCCCACTAAATTTTTGGCTTTAACCTTCTTAGCATTTTGAATCTTTTGTTCAAGACTCTATAGTCTTTGTTCCACTTGTTCAAGTTGGAATGATTGGAGCAGACAAAAGAAATATGATGTTTGAAGTTCTAGATCTCAAGTAAATATGTCATATATATTATCCTACTATAAATGTATGTGCATCTACTCATCTGTTTTTTTTTTTTTTTTCCGGGAAGAATCCATAGCTCTCTTCAAATTCTCAAAGGAGTTGATGACCACAACAATGTTACGATTCACTACCCTATTATTTTATAAAATGATTCACTTTTAAATATATAATTTATATACATTTTAGAAATGTAACTATTATGTAAATTAGAACAGAATGTTTATCTTCAATAAATGTAAATGGTATCACACTCATTTCCTTAGCTTAAAAAAAATCTCTTATTTAGTTTGCCATGAAAAATGAAGCTAAACTGTCTGTGAAATACTTAATTCCTTCTTCATGATCATCCAATCCCATGTTGAGAGATCAGAAAATCATATTATTACTTGGGCTGGGACAAGTTATCTCAGGGCACTACCAGACATGCATGTGGGCTCACACACATAGCCATCACCATTCCTCCTTATACAATAATTTACCCCTCTTTCTTCAGTTTACTAAGAGCATCTCCCATTAACATGAATACACATATACACAAGCAAGTGGTAATCTTAAGGTATGCATATCAAAGTTTAATTCTTCCAATATTAAATTCTTAAAAACTGGGATGGAATCAATGACTTGATCTACAAAGTTATTATTAATATAAAGGAAAAACTGTGGAATAAAAAAGTGCCTATGTCATACTTGGTGCTATGTTTTAGAAGAGATTTTTAGTAGCGAAGGATCATAAAAGCATTGAGTCCTCCTTATGCCATAGCAATCTCACCTGAAATAAAACTCTCCAGGAACAATGACTCTACAATGAAAAAGTAAGAGCTATTTCACTAACAAGGAGGGTGCAATGCCAGTGCTGCAGATCCTGGCTTGATTTTAGTGCTTTAGACAGCAAGGTAACTAGTGGGAATCACCTTTGGCTTCTGGCCCTACAAAGATATTTCAGAAGGAAATGAAAAATATTTTGTCCTTCTTTGGCAAATGGAGTTATGTGTCGGGGGCACACACGACTAAAAGCTTAGGTTTGTAAAATGGATGCTGAATGAGTTTAATAAACCATAGAAACATTTGAATCCTCTAGGCCTATGGTTGACAAACTGCGGCTCTTTGGCACCTTGAATGTGGCTCTTCCACAAAATACCACGGCCTGGGCGAGTCTATTTTGAAGAAGTGGCATTAGAAGAAGTTTAAGTTTAAAAAATTTGGCTCTCAAAAGAAATTTCAATTGTTGTGCTGTTGATGTTTGGGTCTGTTGACTAATGAGTTTGATGACCACTGCTCTAGGCTTATTCAAGGAAAACTCTGCCAAATAACTAAAAAAAAAAAAAAAAAAAAAAAAAAGTAAATACCAGGTGAAAGATGGATTTTTAAAATACCAAGCAGTACATGCATCTGATTCATATCCTTCCCTCCCTCTTATCCACCCTCCTACCCGAATTCAAACTTCCTAGATGATACACGTAGGCACATCACACTTTCCTCAGCATTCCTGGAAAAGGTCTTGATCATCATGATGTTTTCTGGGTATTTCACGTTGAGTGTTAGGACAGTAGCTGTATCTTTCTATAACTCCTTTTTTTTTTTTTTTTTTTTAAAGAAGAAATGGCTTATTTCAGCACTTGGCAATCTTCATAAACACACACACACACACACACACACACACACTTAAAGTTAGAGGACAGATATGCAAAACAGCTTTTCAGTGTAGTGACAAAGGTCTGGCACTTTGATGTTCTCTTAAAAAACCCCCCACAATTTAAAAAATTAATTAAATTTTTATTGATTTCAGAGAGGAAGGGAGAAAGAGACAGAAACATCAATGATGAGAAAGAATCATTGATTGGCTGCCTTTCAGACGCCCCCTACTGGGGATTGAGCCTGCAACCTGGGCCCTTGACGGAATCAAACTCTGGACACTTTAGTTCCAAACCAGCTAGGGCTTTGATGTTCTAATATTCTTTCAATCTTATGTTTTTAAGAAAAGGCTGAAACAGCCCAGCCGGTGTGATTCAGTAGTTGAGTGTCAACCTATGAACCAGGGTATCATGGCTCAATTCCTGGTTAGGGCACATGCCCCGTTTGAGGGCTGAATACCCAGTGTGGGGCATGCAGGAGGGAGCTGATAAATGATTCTCATCATTGATGTTTTTCTCTCTCTGTCTCCCTTCCTTTCTAAAGTCAATAATATATATATATATATATATATATATATATATATATATATATAGTCTGAAACTCTTGTTCCATGAGAAAGTTGTATAATCTTTTTTAAAAAAAATATATTTTATTAATTTTTTACAGAGAGGAAGGGAGAGAGATAGAGAGTCGGTGAGAGAGAGTCATCGATGAGTCATCGATCAGCCGCCTCTTGCACACCCCCTACTGGGAATATGCCCGCAACCAAGGTACATATCCTTGACCGGAATGGAACCAGGAACCTTTCAGTCCCCAAGCCGACGCTCTATCCATTGAGCCAAACCGGTTTTGGCTAAGTTGTATAATCTTGATAGACCTTTACAAACAGGATTTATCTATAGTTTCAAGCCCCAAGTATGAGGGGTGCTTTTCCAAAATGGGTACGTCAGCCCTGCCCCATGGAGGAGACATCTGCCCAAGGGGATCCACCCGCCCGCAGTCCTGCAGGACTGTTTGTCACTCACCCTCCTTCTCCTGTCCATGTAGCTCACCCGGATGGTGGCTGAGCACAGCAGAAACAGCCTGAGGAGAAGGAAAGAGAAGGGCTTCAGGAACTAGGGGAGAAAATGGGACAAGCACAGTCACTGGCCCATAGCGCTTGTTAATTCGTTCTGTAAACATTTATGGAAACCACAGCATGTTAGGCATTGCTCCAATCTCTGAGGAAGACTGATGGGAAACAAAAGAAAACAAACCAAAGTCTCTGCACTCATTGATAAAGCTTCTAACCTAGTGGCAGTTAAATGTTTGGAGGGAATGGATGCCTCGATCCAGGAAGTGACAGCAGGGGTGACAGCTGGGGGACAGCTCCAGCTTCCCGTTTTGGGTAACTGTCAATACAGACTTAACCCCAATCCACTTCACCGTCCTCATTTGGGGATTCCAGTCTCTCTGCGTGGCAAAGGTAGCCCGTGTACACTAGCAAGATCACCCTTTTATTTAAAATACGAATTTCTAGGAGCCCTCAGCGAGGGAAGGCAGAGGGTGCCTGGGTGGACTGGCGCTCTGCATGCTCTGTGAGCCGCCCAGCTAAAACCTCCCCCAGAGCACCGCCAGGTGGCACCTGTAAGGCGCAGATGGGGACGCTCATGTGCCCCACACCCCGGAACAATCCGGCTGCTGGCCTTTCCCCGTGGGCCGTTGGTGAGGAAGTGGGGGAGTGTTAGCCTCCATTCAGACCGTGTGATCACGTACCCCGTTCTCCCGACACTCTAAGCACGCAGAGCGCAGTGTGTCCCGCGCACTAGGGCTGCCAAAGGCGCACAAGCTCGTTGGGATTGGCTGGGCCCCAGCCATCCGCCGGGACCTGGGGATGGCGGCGGGGGGCCGTGGGCTGCGCTGAGGTCTTCCCTCCCGGACTTGTCCCCGCGAGGAAGGAGAGGCTAGGGAGACGTGTCCCAGGGTGGCGGCAGGCAGAGGACCGAGGACCCGAGGACCCTGCTCCCCTCCACCCCGGCCTCCACCCCCTCCTAGGTGGCCGCCTGAGCCCTCCTCCCGCCCCATACAGAACCCCGTGGTCTCCCCCGGCCCGGCCGGCCGCAGAGGGGGGTCTCGGGTCACCCCTCGCCGCCACTCCCGGCCGCGCCACCTTCCCCGCACGCGGGGGGCCTGGCGGAGGGTCCGGGGGTGCGGGGAGCGCGCGGAGCCAGTGCGTCTGTTTGGGTCCTTTGGGCTGGGCGGCCGGGGCGCCAACTCCGCTCCCCGGGGAGCGGGGGACGCGCAGCCTCTGCTCGGCGGCCGGTGACATTGGGGGGAGGCCGCTAGGAGCGGGCAGGCGGGGAGGAAGGGGGCCGGGAGGGCGGGGGCAGGGGGGAAAGTAGCGGCGGTGCCAGGGGGCGTGGGAGCCGCGGGAGAGGCGGCCGCTCCGGTGACAACTTCTCCGGGGCGCGCGGGGGGCGGGCGGGAGCGGGAGCCGGAGGGAGCGGCGGGCGCCTCCGCCTCTGGGAGCCGCGGCCCGCGCCCCGCGCCCCGCGCCGCCCGCAGCCTCCGGGTCCGCAGCCCGGGAGCGGGCTCGGCGCTATAAATAGCAGGTCGCCGCTCGGCTCGGCGCACACGTATCCCGGGAACCGAACGCCGGAAAGAAAGTCGGGCTCCAAGAGTCTGCTGCTGCTGCTGCTGCCGCCCCCCACTCCGCCTGCGGGAGAGGTAATGACCTGCCGGACCGAGGGCTCGCTGGGGCTTGGCGGGGTGCGGGGTGCAGGGTGCAGGGTGCAGGGTGGTGGGGTGGGGGAGGACTGGGGGTGATTCAGGAGTCCTTGGGGCCGGGCCGCGAGCGCGGGGATCCGTGCTGGTGCGGGGAGCCTGTCTGTGTGTTTTGCATCAAGTTTCTCGGTCTTGCAGCCCCAGGAGCCCCTCCAGCCCTGTCGCCCCAGCCCAGAGGTAGGTTGTGTGTGTTTCCTTGGAGGCTGGGCAACCCTGTGGTCGAGGTGACCCTCCCGCGGAGCGCCCCTCGGCCGGGCCAGCGCGCATGGTCACCCCGACCCGCTCCCACCCCGGGCCCCGCTAGCCCTGACCTCCCCTTTGGGACACCTGCGGGGGCCCCGGCTCCCTCTCCACCTCAAAGCCGCCGCTGCCCGCCCTCCGGCCCCGTCTCTTCCATAAGGCGAGGGTCAGGGGTGGGGGTGGCAGTGGGGGTCACTAATACTGAGGTTTTAGTTGCCCCAAGTCCAGGGTTTTCCTCTCCGTGACCACCCCACCCCAACCCCAGCAACTCATTCCAGCAGAGAAGCCAGGCACGTCTGCTCTTAGCCACCGAGCTTCACTTGTCCTACCTCTGAGCTCTGTCTAAGGGGTTGGAGTGAGGCCGCGGGGTGAGGGGGGCTGGGGGGTGGGCTGGAGTTGGAAAACTGCGCGGCCAGCTCTCCAGACACCTCTGGCAGGAAGGCCCAGGCCCGAGGAGGTCCAGCTAAAACCCCGGGGTTGGTGCCCGCGCGGACTTTCGGGCTGGTAGCTGGGACTTAAAAGAGGATGCTGGAGCCACAAGACCCATGTTTGCCCTTCCCCAGGACTCTGACATCCCCTGCTTTGGGTGGTGCTTTCTGTGCGTACACCCCCGCCCTCTCCCCTCCTTGCTGGTGGAGAGGGATGGGCAGTTTCTGTTTGGGGGCAGGAGGTTGTAGAAGAGTGAGGGTGTGCATATTGAATAGGTTTGTGCTGCTGCTGCTGCTGCTGCTGCTGCTGCTGCAAAAACTTAACTGGAAACAGCCGCGAGGGGTTTCTGTTACTACTCTTGCTTGAATGATGCAGCTTCGCTCCTTTGCTTGTTTTTTGTTTTTTTTTTTTCCTTCTGGGGAACAGGTTTTCTCCCTCTTTCTGAGTTGTTATTTGAGGTCATTACATTTTATGACTCCAGGTGTCACAGTTTGCTTATCTTCTTCCTCTCCGTACAGCAGGACGTGTTTGAAAAGGTGTGGCTCTAGAAAGTAGGTAAAAGCCTAGGCAACAGGATAAATTCATCTTCCTCCCCCTCAAGATAGGCACTAGGCAGCCCTCTTCTAGCTGTACAGCGACAGTGCAAAGACCTTGCTTGTCACAGTAGTCTTCTGACTGGGTTCTGGACCAGAGATGGTCACTAGTTTGACATAATGCTAAAGCAGGATATAAGGCTCAAGGATTCACCTGCGGGCAGCTGGCTGGCGGTGTGCAAGAAGTTGAGTAGAAAGAGGTGGGCAAGTGGTCAGGGTCTCAGTAGACAAAGAAATGCATTACCTTGTGCTCCTTTGCGATCTGCCCCAGGAAGGCATTGACATGAATTCAGAAGAAATGATCCAGGGCTTTGTAATAAGTACCTGGGGGTTAAAAATGGAGTCGCTCGGCTTTGTAGTAATACACAATACTACTGCAATGGAATGCTTTCTCAGCATACTTCTTTAAAATGTGATTTAGAAGATTGTCCTTGAAAGGTTATGAAATGTGCATGTGAAGACAGTCTGGATGCTCAATGTCATTAGGAAACATATGTATTGATTGAAATGCTGCTTTTACTTTAGGAGAACATTCTCTTTGATTAGGCACATCAGTATTTACGTGTGTGATACACTAATGACCAATGAGGATGTCCATATTTATAACTGCATTTTGGTTTTTTTAAGTTTTGACGAAATACAAGAAAACCCAGATAGACAAAGTTTAGTCTAGTCCCCACCGCTGTTTAAGAAGCACATGTGCACAAGATACTTTTAAAATTTGGGTTTGAGCTTCACTTTGGAGGTGCAAATTGACTGAAGGACTTCTTCATTTCTCATAAGATTTTTTTTGTCAAAATATGCATAACATAGGCTCATCTGTTAAAACTTTGACTATAAAATAATGCTATTATGTTTTAGTTGTGTGCAATGGAAAATTATTATGCTTAGGGAAAAGCCAGATATTTGTTCTAAGTTGTGCAAATTGAAAGTAATTCATTTTTCATCTGAAAATGTTTCTTTTAGTTCAAGTATCCCCATTTGGGTAACAGTTAACTTTCTCTACTTTGAGCAAAACTCAAGAGGGCAATTCTCTTAAGGATGGAGAAAAAAGTGAAAATTGACCTCATATCTCTTAGCAACCAAGTAGATGTCAATTTCCAGGTAAATACCTGACATCTGAGATTACAAAGTTACAAAAATTACAAAGTCGTAATTAATGAGTAAAATGCTTACTGAATATCTATTACATTTTCTTATTTCACAGTGCACAATCCCCAGCCAGTACTAATATTACATATACAAATATGATTTTTTAATCTGTATGGAATACATTCTTGTCTTTCGTAACCATGGGGATATTAATAGATTGAAATGTGCTATTTTAAATAATCTCAAATCAAAATGTTAATGTCAGTTGAAAACTGAATCTCTCTGTTTCTTCTGTATTCTGTGCCTTTATTGTTCAACAGCCTTGGCAATCTGCTTCATAGACTCTTTTGTTAGTACTTGTTTATGTTGCATTAGAAATTCTTGTTTATGGAGATCCTTAGGACACACTCATAAATACACACACTTCATATTCAGGCTAAAGAAAATAATTAGGCAAATTGTTTCAGTTTAAGCATTTATTTTTTCAAAAGATATTTCTTTATTGATTTCAGAGAGGAAGGGAGGAGAGAGAAATAGAAACATCAATAATGAGAGAGAATCCTTGATCGGCTGCCTCCTGCACATCCCCCACTGGGGATCGATCCTGCAACCCAGGCATGTGACCTTGACCATATTTGGACCCGAGACCCTTTAGTCTACAGGCTGACGCTCTATCCACTGAGTCAAGCTGGCTAGGGCTAAGCATTTATTTTTAAAGAAATCCAGTGATGCTATGATTGCACATTGGTGTTCAAGAGGCACATCGCCTTTGTTTACCCAAACTTTACATACAATGTGTACCTGGAAGCAGATCAAGATATTTGAGAACATTTTAAAGAATCTGTAGAGCCTCAGGCACAATTTTCATTTGAATCAAGACTTATTTGTTCTTTTTAAAAAAATGTTTTTATTGATTTATTTTAGAGAGGAAGAGGGATAGAGAGATAGAAATATCAATGAGAGAGAAATATTGATTGGCTGCCTCCTGCATGCCCCCTACTGGGGATTGAGCCTGCAACCTAGGCATGTGCCCTCACCTAGAATTGAACCAGTGATCTCTTGGTTCATGGGGTTGAGGCTCAACCACTAAGCTACACAGGCCAGCTGTCATTTATTTTATATATTTTTACTACTTTGTAGGTTAAAGGGAGCATTTTAAAAATGCTTATGAAATTTTATTATTATAACTATATTGTGAATATCTGAAACTGCAGTGAGATTTTTCTTATATAAGACACAATTGTAATCTTACTTACTAGAAGTATCTTGTTATAGATGTTATACCATAAGGCCAATGAAATATTGAGGAGTGTAGTAACTTTAGACTTTTTTACAACTGGCTTTGTAATTTGACTGAACATTGAGCAGTTATGATAGATGTAATCCCAACAAAGGGTGAAGTGTTGGATTTCAATATCATATGTGTAAATCATGTTTTCCAATCTGTGTTTCTGAAATTGCAATATTGTGAGTAAGTTCTGTCTTTGGCATTGGGCAGCCATACCAACTAGGTGTCCTAATTGTGTGGTGGGTAGGGCTTTAAAATAGCCCTAAGCAGCAAGAAGTGAAATAGATTTGGCAGTAGTCATTTGGTTAAGCTGATTAAAGGAAATCTTGAGAAGTTTTCTAGATCAAGTGGCTTTGATCTGAGATTCCTTTGGGAATTTTCTAAATTAATGAACAAAAGGGAATGGAAACCATACTTCCCTTAAATGAGAAACAAACCCAACCTCCCTCTCTTCATTTTACTCTCCCTCCCTTCTTCCCTCCTTCCTTCTCATCTATTTGTCTATTATCTATCTATCTATCTATCTATCTATCTATCTATCTATCATCTATCTATCTATCATCTATCTATCTATCTATCTATCTATCTATCTATCTATCATCTATTTTTACCTGCCCTCTGGTTATTAAAATGAAATAGTGCAACAGGCCTAATATTGAAATTATTGAATAATGTTCTTGATTTTTCACATTTCCAGGAATGAATAAGTTTGTGGGATGTGTAGGCAGCCTTTGATACTCATGCTGATTTTGAATTATTGACATAACAACATAATGAAAAGTATCTAGGATAAAAATAAAAATATAATTCATAAAAAATTTACATATTAGTTGTTTTAAATATACCACTTATTTATAAATTTTAAGTTTTTAGAAGGAGAACATGAGATTTGTGTTTCTCAAAAGGGAGCATGACTTTAAAACTATGCAGTGATTGAAAGGGAATCCTTTAAATACTTTTCATTTTGAAAAACTTAATTGACAGACATATGAGCCTTTCACCTTTCACCTTAGTTCTTAAAACAGGTAGTTATAGTGCATTAAGTAGACCAAGCTGGGAACTACCATTGTAGAATACAGTGAAGCAAATAAAATGTACTCCCTATAACCATAGCAGAATCAATTCTTTTCTTAAACCATTCTTTCAGATGATTCTCACTTCAGTTTCATGGGGATTTACTTTTCTAAAAGCCAAAAGATCAGAGATGAGTTCTAGTGATTAGCACAACCAAAACACAAAAATTATTCACTGCTGGGAAAATCAAGTAAAACATAAAATCAGAGGTATCTGAAATTGAAATT